TATACGAGCTTATTATTTTACATAAACTTCATATGAATTAGGAGAAATGCGTAATGAAGGTGATGTTCGAAATCAGAATAAAATTTTAAGACCTTAGAGTTGCAAACAGAAGGTAATTTCAATTTTTTTTAATTCTATAACACTTACAGAAAATTATCATTGATTATTAGCTGATCAGTGAACAATTTGAAGCTTTTATATTAATTACTATAATTAATCAATATTTCTGCAACAAAGTAACATGTAAAACAACAAATAAATCACTTATAATTATAAAATTTTAATTTTTAGATTTACCTTCCCCTTTTACTTTCAATGGATTGAAATGAATAATGTTCGGCAAACAAACTAATTGATTAGATCTAGTAAAAAGTTCTTCCCAACGATCTTCAGGTGATTAAATAAATTAATTTTATCAAAGCCACTAATACCTGTTACAGTAGTATTCCTAAGCTCTCAGAGAAGTAGTAAACCGTGAAAAATAACAATAGCCATCACATTGATGATAAATTATTTGTACATTTTATTCGAAACAAAACTTTCATATTATTCAACAATCGAAAAGAGCTCTTTACTAAATTTAATCTGTCGTTAGCGTTAAATTAAGGGAAGAGTTCACTGTTTCAGCGACACGGAAATGCAGTTGAAATCTCCGAATGAAGATCACCGAAGTTGCAGGAAAGGTGGATGCACCTTCGGCAACCTGTGGAGGGGATGGTTTGTGTGACGCGCCGTACACGTGACACAAACACAGGGTTGGTGTCAGGGGTTGAACGGGAAACCCCTTCACATGCGCGGTGTTCGCGGCCAAGTGAAGTGTTGCGTTCTTCCACAACTCTCGAAAATGTCGACCCTCGATTACGGTTAACTTTTCAAAGTGATGTTCGCCCTTCTATCAACGATACCGAGCTGTGATACGGTCTAACGACACTACTCGATGAAATAAAAGAATCATGATCAAGTCATGACAGAAACACATTAACGAGGATAATGAATATTTTAAATGACGAATGTTGTTGCGGTATTGTTTCAGTATTAAGTGTTTTTGTTTATGCAATCTTGTACGAGGTTGCTGATATTTTGTTATCGTGGCTCGAACACGTGAACCTTCGTGATTTAATAGAGAAATTTTCCGGGGGAGAGGGAATGATACTTGAAAAGTGTGTATCTGTGCCTTAATGAATTACTCTGCTAGAGGGAATGTATCATTGGAGGATGTGCTAAATGAACGGTCGGTGGATATCCATGCGAGCATGCATTGGTTCACGAATTCATGGTGTTGAATGATTCTGCGATCAGGTAAATTGTGATCGACGGTTTGACAGTGTATTATTTCGTGTCACTGTTGCACACAATTTGAAATAACGAATAGATGCTTCATCGATTAGTAAACACGTGATTTTAAAGGCGAAACAAATGGAATATTATGATTTAATACGCTTATAAATTTCTTTACATTTTAATATACTAAAATAGCAAAATATGTATAGCAAAATGATAGCTAAAAATATATTGATATCGATATTTTCAGTTATTAATTAATGGTGACAAAAGAGTCTATACTAAAATTTAAATATACGTTTGTATCGTATTTTATTTAAATTTCTGACTGACGCAATAATGAAACTGGATACGATACGAAAATAGATATGACACATTAACGAAGCTTGCATGACACCGATGAGACGAGATGCAATACCAAATTTCTATTGATTTTCCTAACACTGTCGCGTGTATTTGAACCTTCCGCTTCCTGGCGAATATACGTATACATTGAATGCATCAAACTAAGTGCTTCTGTTCACGAGTATCGTGTACGTTAAACCAACGTAACACGCTACCACGACACTACGTTTCTCATTGATGAAGATATTTGATCGTTCCATATTCTGTAATGCGATTAATGCTTGATTCGTACATATATTTAATGATTAATATTCTCTTTCAATGGACTTAAACAACAGTTAGCTATCTACAAATATTAAAATTAACATTTACATTTGGATTATCATTCATTCATCAATTATCAGGATAATTGCTGCATACTAACAATTTTATTAATTGAAAACTAAGAATATTTGTCGATAAAATTTCATAATTGTTCGATCGGTTTAACCCTTTACACTCGAAAGTTTTTTGCTGGAAATATTCAAGATTTTCCGACGAGATACAGACGACCTTGTTTGAATCTAATCTAACGATAATTCACAGATAAATTAAGAAACAAAGATATTTTACTTAAATATTTCATATAACAATACAAAGTTTAATTTGAAGTACTAAATATTTAGCTTCATAGTTTTGCTGTATCAAATCAATTGGTGACTGAGAGTTACCTCTCGAGTGCAAAGGGTTATTAAAAAAATATGTTTATAAAGAAATGCTATTCTGTTCATAATATATGTAGCCGCAAACATTTGATAATGCCGGTGCGTGCGAAACGCCACGGGGAAAAAGGAAAACCAAATCGATCCAGGAAGAGTGGACATTGACCGGCAGTGATACTATTAAATTCTTATGCACAATCGACGAGTGCAAGTTCGCCTCTGTTCACATACTCGAAACTGTCACTTGCATATTAATGCCGAACGGGCTTCCTGTAATATTTAATTTAACTGCTGCCAGTGCATGAACGCGATGAGACTCCAAGCTTAACAGGCTGCAAATAATTAATAACGAAGTTATGAACCGTCTCGGTCGTCACCCTGCATTAATGTTTAATAAACCCTAACAACGAGTAATATTCTAGCACAACTCATAAATGATTAACGTTCCTTTTTAATAATTATTTGATCCTATACACGATACCTTTAATTTGTAATTAGTTGTCTGGTAATTGACATGTGCACTGTACGTAATTACTCTATACAGAAATGTTTGACATCTTTCCTGTGTTCATTGTGCTCGAAGATCTTCATTTTAATTAAATTTACTTTTTTATTTTTGTATGAGTAATTTGATGGCTTTTATATTCTTTTTGAAATCACTAGCTGATTATTAGTGTTTGAAATTATGCGATACAAGAGAAATAATAGAATTTTCCATTGGATGTATTAAAATATTTTTTAGTCATTCCCTAATAACAATCGATGGCCTACATTTGCAATTGCTATGCGTGATACCCGGTATTCCCCATTCTAATATGTTAGCGATGTCATTGGCACGTGGCAGACACATGTTAGAGGGTAAACCACATCACTGTGCGTGTAATGATAGAAAGCAGGTGTATTTAAAGATTACATACCTTCGACAGCCAGATAAAAAGCGAACGTCAATAGCCATCAATTGGCAGTTCTACAATAGATACCAACCATAGCTAGTAACATGTTTCAAAATTAAGTCATTAGCAATCACGTTAATTCTACTTACCTTAAATTATAACTACAAAGTCTTCAAATTTAAATAATAAAATTACGTAGCATACAATCATCAAATTAATTAAATAATTCATCCACTATTAAAGATAAGATGATTATTCAAACAAAAAAATCGAAAAGATAGAATGTCATATTTTCCTTTACAATGTTATTCTGTAAGAAAAATTAATTTCAAATATTTGTCTCGATCATTGATCGTGACGTATAAATACAATGTACCTACAGTGTATAGTGGAAGAGTATTCTTATCATTAAGATTTATTTCGCGCCCGCTTAATTCATAAAGCGCTTAACGGATCCCGTTCTGGATCATCATAACTCATTGTTGATAATCTCTATCAAGGAACGTAACTGAATTTACACTGGACGCACAGTACTGGCCGGTGACTTGACGAAGATTATTAACCGCACACTATATTCGCGAACAATGAATGGTCACGACCCCGTTTCGTGATTACAAAATCGATATTTGCGATTTTATCGGAAACTTCGAATCCTTTTGCGCCGGTATAAATTCGTCACTAGTCACGGTAATTGTGTCGTAACGTTTCATCGTTTCTGGGTCGAGTCGAAAAAATCGTCTGTGTGCCGAGCGAACGGCACGAATCATGAAAGTCAATTCGAACGATTTGAGGGTCGATTATTTTCGAAAATAGCGCGAGAACGGTTCAATTACGTGTCCGGTTGCCGGGATCGGTGAATTATGTATGCGATCGGAACCGTCGCGAGCAAATTAAGACTACTGTCGACGGAAAAAGTGGATGTACGCCCTATCACGCGGTATCGGGGAATCCCTAGCGATTTTCGTAAATAATTACTGACTCGATAAGCAGAGTGACTGTAAGGCAGTTGAGAGGGTTTGAACCCACCCCGGCTATCCTTGCAATATTTAGAAAAGAAACAGGGGAAACTCGTGTAACGAGTTATCGATTATATCATAAACGCAACGAGCATTTGATGCTGACGTTCTATAACAATTATCGAATGTGAAATTGGTCGTCGCGTTCCTTATGGCGATCCAATCGTCATGTTATACAAATTTGTTTCCTTGTGCGAATATTGATATTCAAATTGATTATTCTGAGCGATTACGTTAAATGCGATTCGTTTAATAATAAACGAATAAATGTTGATTGTTGAGCAAGTCTAATTTTCGTTCGTACAGTAAAATATTTAAATCTTATTAAGAGGGCACGTCACCTAGAAACGTCCTAACCATAGATAAACTTTAGGAATTTGTTTGTTGATAATTATTAAGTGAAACATTCTGATTCTTCCTGGGTGTGTAATTCTGATCTTCTGCTTTATATTTGTTTTTTTTTCTAAGCCAAAATGCTACGAAACGGCACAGTTATTCGCTCGATTGGAAGCAATTGAAACATCTGGAGATCAAAATTTTTGTGGATTTACGAATAGAAATATATTATCTAAAATATAGCTTACGGATTTCCCGAAATTTTAAGTATTATAGAAATGACAAGTATCGGACGTGCAAGAACATGTTTCTACCTCAAGAAATTAGCTTCAAATGTTTATGAAAAATTAAATAATTGAGATATGTGACTTCAGAAATGATTGCACAACAGAGAAAAGTGCGACAGAGAAAAATATTTCTTTTGCAGAATGCCCTTTTCAGGAGCATGGTGCAAAGTCTGGATTTATTTCGGGTTCGTGTTTGCATGGACAAAGGGGGCTCGTCCGCGTTTTGATACTTCCACGGACATGGGATTAGTCTTGATCCCGGCGGATGCAGAAATAGACTCAGTCATTTTCCGGCTGCGCGCGACTGACCAAGATGCCGATTTTCCACTAGTTTTCGAGATAACCGGTAATCCCTATTTAAATTTTTCGACAAATTTATCAATCGTATCGAGTACAAAATATAAAAAAATAAATTACTTTTCCTATCGAATATCGAACAAAAATATTCTTCGACACTTACGTCTTTAAAATTGACATCAACGAATAGTTCTTACTTTAACGAAGATATTTAAAAAGAAACAGTATTCAAAATCAACATTAATTTCTCATATAACTTGACATGAAAAGTCACTACTAAAGATAATTCGCCTAATAATTTTTAGGACTACAAGTATCGATTATATGTATGATGTTACAGTTAAATTCGATGTAAATCTGTTTATATTGTTGAAACAGTTTTTTAATGAAAAATTGGTTAAATTTCAATGAGAATTGATTAATTATGGACACGTTTAATGAATACTTTTTACTTGTCCAGCTACAATCACACCTGTTGTAAGGATCGACAATCTGCCCTGCACGTTGTACAACAAAGTGTGCCAGGCTAATGTGATTCTAACGAAACGACTAGTTCCTGGACGCCTTCACGATTTCGCTGTGAGGGTTAGGGACACGAAGGGTGACTCTAACTCGATGCAAGCCACTATTTCTGTTACAAACGCCACCACACCGCGTGATAAAATATTCCCGCACATACCCTCCCTCATAATGGTGCCTGAGGTAATTATTTATTGGTACAACAACATCGTTTAACGCAATCTGTTCACTTAACAGTAATTTTCACACGTTCGTAGGCGAAAAAACGAATCAATTATTCAGGTAGAATTACATATTAATGAAGACCCTGTGAAGCTGTGATTTGTACATTATTTCAGTTCCCTATAATTACTTAACTGAATTTCATTAAATTGTTGTTGATAGTATAAATTAAAACTGTAGATTGATATTGTAAATTAATTTCACATAAATGTGAAATTATTAAGATGCAAACAATTTATTAGAGTGGAATTTAAATTATTACAATTAATTATTTTATTATATTAGAATAGCTATTAAAAGTATCTATTTACTTAGGACACTAAACCTGGCAAAGAATTAGATTATCTTCTTGTGAGAGCCAATTCGTGGAGCGGAAAACCTGTTTATATTGAACTTTGGGTATGTCTCACACATAACCAGTAATTTTTGTTCATATCTCTAATATGTAACAAGAGAGTGATTATTGTTACAGCAACCAAAAGAACTGTTTACCATAAGGCAGCGACAAACCCCCACACAAACACGAGGAGTGATTACATTAATTGGGGAATTAGATTTTGAAACGCAGTCCGTGTACACACTCACCATGTATGCCACGGTATAAGACAATCCGATTATTTTGTATAACTAATATCATATACAATAATTTACTGTACATAAAAAAATTCTATTTTCTAGGATCCGTACACAGAACCTGGAAAGGACACTAGAAACATTGCTGGTTTGAACGTAGTCGTGATAGTCACAGACGTTCAAGATGTTCCTCCAATTTTCACGTTAGCGCCACCTCTCACAAGGATTAACAATTCTGTACAGCCCGTAAGTATACGTTCCCTCTTCACTTTTTTCGTTATTAAGAATCTGTGATATTTATTGAAAATGTTAAATAAATTGAAAAATTAATGTGAATACACCTCAGTTATTTGGAAAGATTTTTTTTAAGAATTTAGTCCATCTTTAAGATCATAATATTTAATTTTTTTTACTGATTCAAATATACAATTTATATCGAGATTTTTAAAATATTTATTATTGTATATAAATTTTAAATCGAGTGATACTACTGTTACAATAATTTTAATTTTCGATAGGTTTGCAACAGCTAATGTGAGATTTATTAAGGTTCAACATAATCGTATGTTGATTCTAGGGCGATATAGTGCTACGAGTACACGCAGAAGACGGGGATAAAGGAGTTCCACGTGAAGTCGTGTACGGTCTCGTGTCAGAGGGCAATCCTTTTACACCATTTTTTAACATTTCGGAAACAAGCGGTAAGAAAATACATTATAGTTTTTAGAAGCGTCGGATGAACGGGAGCAATTGTCGGTGCATGACATCGCGTTTCGCTTCTTCCCACTGAAACTATACTTCTCGGAAATTGTAGCGGTGTTCGATCATTTTTATTCAATATCTTCTTCGTCTATTGAATTTTTTTAAAGAAATTATGAACAATATGTTTCTATGTACAATGCCATAATTCAAATTTGATAAAAGTATATAGTTAAATATACAGTTAAACAAATTAATATTTGTTCGAAATAAAGTAAAAGTTTATTTCGATGAAATAAAAATTTCGTTTAGTATAATTAATGTTAAAATTATATATATATATATATTTGTTGCCAATTTTGAATGTAATTAAAGACAACAGAAAATTCAACATTTATTTCTCATTTATTTAATGGCAGCGAGTATGTGTATTCTTGTCCAGTGGTAACAAAAATTCGTAACGATTTTATTATACTGACGAGAGCTAGAAATCACAACGATTTGTGGAAGGTGTAATTACATTTCATAGCGGTGCTACCTGTGAACGTATTAACAGGAGGTAGCACGCGTATATACACGCACACCATCGAGTGACCCGGTTCCCCAAGAATTATCTAGTCAATCACAAGCCTTTTAAATTAATTTATCGCTTCTTTGATCTCTTTCCCTAATGTCGAGACGTCAACGAATGATTCACGCCCTCCACTCACGTTCTAAGTCAATACTGAGAACATAATCACATTTACAATTGGAACCGAAAATAACTGGAACAGATTCTATCTACGAAGACAAACACCAGGGGAAATAATTAGTGAATCCATTCCTCTACACCTCAAAATATATAAAATAACGATACACTAAATTATTAAAGAATTAAATTTCAGATTTTTATCAATACCTCCTTTACTAATAATACTGAGAAGATATTATTCGTGATGTTTCACTAACTGTCTATTATCCGACAAATTAATACAGTCCTTTCAGTTAATTCCATCAATATTAAAAATATTAAAAGTATTACATTTCATGCATTTAATAATGATTCACTAAATATTTTCAACTTCTATGGGAAACCAAGTTTTATTCAATATTCTCTTCATAGAAATATCACCTGAATCTATCCATTTAAATTGCACGGTTTTCCACTTAGAAGTAAAAAAGGACATCTAAAAATAGAACGGAAAAGTATAGTTAAGGAATAATTAAAAAGGTTAAAGAATATTTAAAACACAGTTCAAAATACTGAATGATAGAAATAACGTTATGAAACTGAGAACAAGAATAGATAAAAATAGATGCCCAGGAATTCAGTAGGGTTAAACAATTCTACACGGCGAAGTCCACGCGAAATGGCGCCCCGCGTTTTCACGAGCGAAGGTATCGCACCCTTGGAAGGAGGCGGCGTACGCAGGGGGCTCGTAAACGCAAGGGAAACTTTTCCTACGCTTATTTTCGCATGATTACAACCGGCGTGTGGCGGTTTATCTACCGTCTGAGATCTCCTAGCAGTACCGATTTCTTTTCACGGAACCGAAAATGAGTCAGGCAAGAAAGTGGCCAGAAAGCCGGTGGAGAAGTGGTCAGTGGTAAGGTCTTGACAGTCTACGGCGCAGTATCGATCGTCCTTAGGGGTCAGTATCTGCTTTTCCAGCTGCGATGCTTATCATTTCGTGACGTGAAGCATGCGACCTCTCAGCGGCCGTGTATGTGTACGCGCGTAGGTGAGCTTGGCCACCGTATAGAAATGGTAAAAAGGAACGAAGAGGGCCAGAAAGCAATAAGGGAGATAAACCGTCTAACCCGAAGCCATATTATCGTCTCGTGGCATTAACGGGACACGGGGTTTATAATTTCGTGCGGGACCGGAATGAACAGGCGCGATAACGGGGGTCCTCAACTTTTTAATTGCGACTGCGAAATGTAACTTTATTATGAAATTAATGTGCACACGTCGGTGTAGGGGACATATGTGTTCCCGATGGGCAAGATTAGGAATACGATCGGATCGTGTGTAATTGATTGTGAGTATAGTTATGTAGTGGGTAGACGAGTAACTTCGCGAACATAATTGAAACGTTGGACGAATTGTTTTACGGGATTTTTTATTCGTTTCGTTTGAGTTGAAGATGATGGTAATAACATAAATATGATACGGTTACATATGCATAGATAATAAGTAGTAACAGTAAGAATGATGATCAAGTAATAATTATTGAAAGAAGAATGTAATGCATTATAGTATATTATATAATGCAAAATATATATATATATGTATATTACTGTTTCTATGCATTTCATTAGAAAATTGTATCTTATAAAATGTCGTTAACATCCAAAGAAATTCTACAATATAAAGGGTGAATAGCGGTAGTTGCTTTCAACGAGTTGCTTTCCGTGTTGTATTATGCAAAATGTCTAGCTTTGATCGTGCACACCTCGCACGTAGTAGTGAGATCACTGACCGAAACGTTTTATTCATTATAGAAGGAACTTTGCGCGGAATACGAAAACTGTTCTTGAAATTGTTTATAGAAGTCGATTCTTTTAAAATTAGTCTGGTCGTACAATATCAGTTAAGATAAGTATTATTGTTTATGTTTGTTTAATAATTGAAGTTTCTAATTCGATTGTTAGGTGAGATCATTCTTGCCAGACCTCTGGAGGAGCTGACACAAATTACACACGTCGGTGCACCAGTAGTGCTCACTGTAGTTGCTGAGGAACTGAGAAGAAGCAGAGACGAACCACCGGCTCAAGCGACGGTTGTCGATGTTGGGTTTCTTCTCGGAGAGCCAGGAAACACTCCGCCATATTTCGAAAGTGATAAGTTGGTACCTGAGACACGATTCGATATAATCAAAACTTGCTTTTTAGATCATTATCAGTGTTTCTTTAATACAAAGTTCATGTAACATGGCACAAGAAATGTCCCCTTTTATTTAATACCAAAACCTACCAGATGGGACTAAATGACTCATTGCTGATTTCTTCCTTTTTCGATTACTAAAAAGATAACAGATATTTTTTTAAGAAGTTATTAAATAAATGGAATTGGCAATACGCGAATTGAATTATAAATCAATTAAAATCTCGTTAGATGCACTCTTGAAGTTGCTTTAGAGGAATTTCAAAAAGTCAATTTAACTGTTCGGTAGGTTTAGTGCTAACACGTTCGCGGACGTGAATGGTATAGCATTCATTTTTAATGTAATGCAAAATTACATGAATGCTGTATCATTCAAATTTATAAGCTACATTGCCATGTATTTAATTCTATATAGCCTCTTCTATTTGTAATCAAAATTTAGATGTAACAATTAATTTAAAAAATAAATTGCTTGTGTTTCTGCAACTCATTAAAATTTTTACTGTCTGCGAACATGTTTAAATATGTAAATATTGTATTTCTATATAAAATAATCTATTTCTTGCATTTAAAGTACATATGTTTAATATCTTATGAAACTTCGCGTAATATTTACCATTTTATTGCAGTTATGTTGCAACGATCGATGAAAATCTGGAGCCCGGTACTGTGATCAATTTCGGTGAACAATACACGACCAGGGTCAAAGACGAAGACATTGGAAAAGCTGGGGTATTCGCGTTGAAATTGGAAAATAATAATGGCACCTTCGAGATAAATCCCACGGTTGCAGAAAGAACTGCCGACTTCATCGTTATCGTTCGAGATAATACCCTTATCGATTACGAATTGTATAAAACTTTAAGTTTTAAGGTACTTTATCGAATAGTTGGTACAGTACTAGTCTCTTAATAAAAAATCAATTTTAATCATTCTTATATGATATTGACTTTACAATGAATTTTGGACGTCACTGCACGCTAATACCTTTAATATTATTAAACGTAGATTGTTGCTCAAGAAGTTGGCCCCGCGACAAATTTATCCACATCAGTACCAGTTACAATATTTTTGAAAGATGTTAATGACAATCCGCCGGTGTTCGACCAAAAAATATACGAAGTAACGCTGTCTGAAAATGTCACTGTAGGATCACGCGTGATACAGGTAGAGGAAACGAGGATTTATATAAAAGAATTTTGCATGTCTTCGATTATTAAAAGTTTAAATTATTACTGAAACTTGCTGCAGGTACACGCGACAGACATAGACACCGGGATTTACGGCGACATCCGTTACACCGGTGTAACGGGTGAAGGGAGTAAAGCTTTCAACATAAATCCTGATACAGGATTGGTTACTGTCGCCATGGGATCTTCCTTGGATCGTGAAATCGCGGCAAAGCTTGAATTATCCGTTGAAGCTCGGGACTATAACGGTACCGGGAACATCGGAGTTACTCCTTTAATAGTTAATCTACTCGATGTCAACGATAATCCGCCTATATTTGAAAAGGACGTCTATGAATTTATGTTAAATTCAGATTTAACGAACTTCACTTCACCAGCTTTCTTAAAGGTATACTTTTCGTATTCCGAAACAAACATATTTATATTTGAAACAAAAGCAGTTATAATTCTTATATTACACTTCAGTTTGGAGTTAATTAGAACTTTGAGTATATATTCATGAAAATAATAGCTTTACTTTCTGTAATGAAGGAGTTTTAATTACTGAATAGAATTCTAGTTTACCAACAAATAAGATATATTTCTCTGTTTACATTTTCATATCTCTATATTAAGTTCATCGGAAATCTCATTTCGTAGGCAATCGACAACGACGCAGAACCACCAAATAATATAGTTAGATATGAAATAATTCACGGGAATTACGAGAATAAATTCTATTTAAACGAAACCAGCGGTGAATTAATTCTTCGACCGCCGATAACGAAAATTAGACGAAAGAAACAAAACACTTATGATACTTTCGGCAAGAAAACTGGAGAGGGGTTTGTTAATAATCAAGGAAGACCTCCTGAGGATATATTAAAAGGATATAATGATATGATTGAAAATGAATCGACGATGAACGCTCGAAATAAAACTATTTCCACATTAATGGATAAAGCGGTTGTAATGAAATTAATAAGTGGACGACGCAAACGTGATCAAGACAATGCACTATACACTCTCACTGCTAGAGCATATGACTTAGGTGAATTGAAAAAGTGATTAGTTAAAAATTATTTGTGTTGAAAACAGTGTTCAATCAATTCTAGAATAACTTCAAACATTTATTCTACTTTCATTTCAAATCTACTTAAAACATTTATATTTTATAAATTTCTACTTCATATCAATTTTAGAAAAATCTGCACTATAATTGAAATCCTGTTTTCAATTCATTAATGTTGCCAATAATTTGTAGAAAATTGGTGGTAATATTTTACAGGTATTCCACACCTTTCAAGTGTAACCGAAATTCGAATCATCAGCGGTACAGCAATGGAAGCTCGAATAATGATGTTCGTGGTGCCCGGTGAACAGCCAAATTCGACAAAGACCGCTGAAACTTTGGCGACCATCACCGGTGGTCGTGTTACCGTGTTGGAAACTCGTCCCTACATTCAACCGAACCTCACCGGTAGCACGTCTCTACCTGGAGGAGGCAAAAAGTTAGCAATGCACAGTTTCGCATGAAATTACTGTAATTAACTCTTCACTAATCGCATGACAAACTTTATACGATCTCGTTGTCTACCGTACTAAGTACAATAGTCAGTTAATTGATCTTACATTTTTTAGAGAGTTATTTAATTACAGCAGCTATCAATTTTATGAATAAAGCAATGTCGTGAATTTTTATTTCCAATTAATTAAAAATATTCTATTGCAGAACCATTGTTATAGCACGTGTCGAGCAAACGGAACCAGGCACGCCGTTAGTAGATGTGGAAAAAATTATAGAAACAGTAGCTGCATATGGCGTGAGGATTATCAATGGCACAGACAATGTTACAACAATTCATGACACGATTACACCCATTAATGAAAGTCCTAATGTTAATAATGTTCAAGAAACAACCATTATTAATAATACTGTTACGAACGTACATAACGAAGAGGTGGTACGTTTAGACATACATATAAGCAAATATAATTAAATTTTTATGAGATTATAATTAATCACCACTGTAAAACATAAATGACGGATTATAATACAAATTCAACTTCAAATCCAAATTACAAATTATTTTAGGAATGCGAAAAATTAATAATTCCCTGTAACGTCTAATATAAAATAAATTGTTTCCAGACGGTGTATAAAGCGGAAAACAAATTATTGTTCTGGCTCTTAATCATTTTGGGCTTGCTTATGCTTTTGGCCATCGCCATATTGATTATTTGCTGCATTTGTCCTGGTTGTCCATTTTACATGGCACCTAGAAAAAGGCGAGTGCATTCTTCAGAAACGTTAATCGTCAGACCGGATGGAAGACCGAAAAGGCATCTTCATCGTCAACCACCTGCAATGGCGGAAGGTAAACTGTATCAAAATCATTTCAAATGTTCATATAATTCATTTTAATTTATTTTTCATGCATTAAACTAAATTTACAACATTTCTAAATTATTCAACTTTAGTATCATGGAATGGAAGGAAGCAAGCATGGAGCGCGGACCCAACCAGAAGAAACTGGCAGTTCAATAAGCGGAATGTAAAAAATTGTTCCCTTCCTGGTGATGTCGCTTATATTTCTGGCCCACCGAATGATATTCAAATGAACCATGAGGCTCACAGATTAAGAGACGCTAGTTCCTACGATCATTTGAGAAAAATTCGAATGGACGAGCAGGACAGAATGTACATTGAAGAAATGGAGGGACAGAAGCAAAGGGGTTACGACATGCCTGAGATAGATTCTCTGCAGAGACACGAAATGGAGAGAGAATCAGACACGCAACGTCAAGGATACAGACAAAGGTGAGCAAATCACACCAAATTTCATTTCATTTTTTTCAGACAAAAGTAATATTTAACAGATAATTTTTATTATTTTTCAATCAAATTAATTCTTTTCAAGAAATGTTCACAAACATTACAAAAAAACTATCATTGCTTAGAATAAAATTCGAAACAACAGTCTAAATATAGTTAAAAACATTCCTATATTTTAGTATATTTTTTAACATTATGCAAGTGATGTTAATATAAAACGTCTGTTTGATGATTTCACTTTATTTAGATCTGGTCCCAGATACACAGAAACCGCCATGAACGGAGAAGCAATCAGGGAGCAACACTTCTACCGTGAAGGGAACGCTGAGGTCCTGAGGCTAGTTACCAGAGGCCAAGTCGAAGACACATCAGCGAGCCACGTCCACCGTCATCACCACGTTCCCACGACGTTAATCGTCGATGGAAAAGACATAATCTTACAAAGATTCATAGAGGACCAGAAATCTAGACCAGAGATGACGATGCAGGACATCGAAGCAGCTCGCATGATGGAATCTCATCAGCGACCCAAGGACATATATCAACCGCCACAGCCACCAGAAATAATTTTAATACCAGACCGCCTCGAAATGGGTCACAGGCAACACATCGAAGAAATAGGTCCCAACGTGCAAAGACTAGTCATTGATCACGGAGACTACGAATCCCAAAAGACAGACAAAGGCTCTCAAATAGGCGAGTCCTTGAGAAAAGACAAAGAAGGTTTAAGCAGCGAAGTGTTAGGTCCTGAGATGCCATCAATGCTAACTAAGGAACAGATGCAACAAAGTAAATCCCAATATTCCTTCAGCGACTTAGAGCTAGCTAGACAAAAGGCACTGCTAGCTCGATTGCTCTTAAAAGGGGACAACCGTCACTTAGATGGCGGAATAATAGACTCAGCGAGTTACTTAGAGACTCAAAGTCTCCCTGGACAAGTAGCAATCGCCACGCAGACCGACAGAACAACTGCCACTCAAACGGACCGCCACGTTAGAAGCAGAAGCGATAACGACGAGTCCGACGAAGACTCTAGACACAGGAAAAAATTAAAGTCAAGGAAAAAGTACGGCGATGGAGACTGGAAAAGAGCCCAAACGCTGTGGATGAAGTCACCGATCGACGAGAAAAGTAGTCCCTGCTTCGACAAGCGATTGAGCATTCTACAAAGAAAAGTAAAGGAAGTGAAGGAGGACAGAAAAATTTCGTTGGAGCCCGACGTGCTGAGAGAAATCTCCGATTCCCTAAACGGGAACGGTAGCTCGTACAAGGGCGAAGAGGACAAATCGCTGCAGGCGTATCGGAAATCGACGGAGCAGTCGAGCGTCAGCTACAAAGTGTTAAACGAAACGGAAAACGATTCCTCGTCTTCCATAGAGCCGCGGAAGAAGAAGCGCGAGAGAGCTTTCGGGGAGAAAAGCTGCGAAGATCTAAGTGACGATCAGAAGCTGAACGGCACGGAATCAACTTCGTCGCCGGATATGAAATTGAAACACGACAAAAGTGAAAGAATAGCTGCGAAGAGTCCCAAAAAGGAATCAAAGTCGCATTCTCAGAAGAAGGATTCAACGAAGCCGAGTTTTAGGATTCTTGAGAAGGAATTCACGATGCTGACTAAAAAGTTTAGTAAGTTAGGCGAAAAGAAGTTTCAGGAGACCGGCAGTGACAGTACTAGTCAAGAAAAATCGGAAACAAAGAGAGATCAAGGGCAGAAAGGATCTAAGAAAGCTGAAGCTTCGAGCTCTCAGAAAGGAGAAATGGCGTCCAACGTGTCGAAGACGGAGCAAAAGGCGAAGCAAAAGAAGGAGACTGCTATTGCCAAGACTAAACAGAAACTGAGGTATCAGCAGTCGAACGTTATGAGCACGGGGAGTTCGGAGTACGACGATCTGTTTGAGAAGAACAAGAAGCAAGGGAAAACACGTCAGGAGTCGGTGAAACAGAAACAAACTCTCGCTGGTCATGCGAAAGTGAAACGTCAACCGAATGTTGGTAGGCAAGAGGTGAAGAAGCAAATGGCTGAGGCTCATGAAGAGGATATTGAAAAACGGAAAGAAGTTAGTGTGAAAGAGACTATAAAAACTGAATCGAAAGAGAAAACTGGGAAGACTGTTACTAGAGCACCGAAACTTAATATTCTGCATCGTAAAGATCGCGTTGTTGAAGAATCGAGTTATAGTACAGCCTCTGATCAAATGGACAGTAGAAAGGAGAAAGTTAATCTGTCGAGTATTGACAAAAAAAGTACTACAGACTCTTCAGGAACGGATTCGAAGGTAAAGACTAATGAGAAAAGATCGATTGTGGAAAAAGTGCTTCAGAGGTTTAGCGATGATTTCGTTGAACAGAAAGTAGAAAGCGTGAAACTGCAAACGAGTGAAAAAGAGGACAAAAAAGAGAAAACTGTGAAGGATATAGGGCGAAAGGGGATTGTTCATGAGAAACGTGTCAGCCCTGAGAAGAAGTTAGTGAAAAATGGATCAGTAGCAGCGAAACCTTTGGCTGAGAAATGGATAACAGCGGAAGAGGAAGTAACTACAAAGGTGATGAAAGATTCTGAGGCTCTTCAAGATGCTGTGTACGAATTAATAAAAACGTCTGTTGGTCCCGATATTCAAGGGAAAAAGGCGAAATTGAAAGAAAGTACTGTTGCAGGAGATTTAAAATTTGAGAAAGGTATGATGCCATTTCATGCGGAATCAGTAGTGACAGAGAAGCCAAGAGAATACGAGGAAGAACATGAAAAATTAGCTGATATTGCGAGCACTGTGAAAGTGAGTAAGAAAAATGGAGTGCAAGATGATGAACGAGAAAGTAAAATAGGTGAGAGTGAAAAAAGTATCATACCGGTTGTTATGGATGTATTGCTAGTGAATGCGAGTAAAGAGAAATTATTAGAAGAATTAGATCATAAACATGTTGAAGAAAAAGAGAAAAAGGAGCCGAAGGAAGTTAAGATAAAAGATGAAGTGATGGGAAAGCATAAACAGGAACAAAAAAAAGATGAAATGGTAGAAAAACATAAGGAGGAACAAAAGAAAGATGAAATGATAGAAAAGTACAAGGAGAAACAAGAAAAGGATGAAGTAACAGAAAAATTTAAACAGGAAAGAAGAAAAGATGGAGGAATAGAAGAATGCAAAGACGTACAAAAGAAAGATGAAGTAATAGAGAAACACAAAGATGAACAAAAGAAAGATGAAGTAATAGAGAAACACAAAGATGAACAAAAGAAAGACGATGTAATAGAGAAACACAAAGATGAACAAAAGAAAGACGATGTAATAGAGAAACACAAAGATGAACAAAAGAAAGACGATGTAATAGAGAAACACAAAGATGAACAAAAGAAAGATGAAGTAAT